TACTTTTGGGTAATTATCTTGGTAAAGTATGGTTGTGCAATTAAACTGTGAAAATACTTTTAGGCAATATATTTGGAAATTTTTGTTACAATGAGAAATTATACTGTGGAAATCTTATTGGGCATTTATATTGCAAAAATTCAGCATCATATTGGTAAAGTGTTGTTGCTGTAGAAAATTACATTTTTAAAATTCTGTTATGTAATTGTATTGGAGAAAACTTATTGGAAAAATTTTATTAGGCAATTATACTGAAAAGTGTTATTGCTGTAGATATTAAGAATGCGTTCTTGCTATGGACAATAGTACTAATAATAATCATTCATTGTTATTGTTATTATTATAGCAAGAAACAATATTATAATAAAGACAGAATACAAAAAGTGTAAATGTCGCCTTTAATGAGACTTTGACAAAAGCGTCAATCTTAATAATAATAATGCCACTTAGAGAAGAGCGTGATTTTAAAAAAGTAAAAGAAAAGACAGTTTGACGATGTTCAACAACATTTCGACAGTATATATGTCTTCTTCATTTATATTTAAAACTTTTTTTACAATTATAAAAATGTAAAAAAAAAATCTACAAAAGATTATAAGTCTTTGTACACACGCCGCTTGAGAAAACGGACGTACTGGTAATCAACGCGTCAAAACAAATGAAACGCAGCCAGCGTGAATGGCATGCAACTGAAACGTGCGTAATATGATGGCGATCTTGCTCATCTTGGAATTTTCTAATAGTTGATTATTTACTAAGAGGAATTAATCAAACAGCTTAGTGTAAATCTTATGGAACTCTCCTGCCATTTTGTTCATTCCCCCTGGGGGCGGGAAGGTAGTAGTTTGCTTACATAACAATCCGCATGCGTTTTAATGGTCAATAGGTCGGTAAATTCTGAATATCTTTCCATAATGTGCAACTTAACATACTTATCGAAATTAAAATCGCTTGTAATAAAATGTTGCGCAAGCTCTGTTAATATCACATTGTTATGTCGGACATAATATCTGTGGCCATTGAATCTTTTATTTATTTTTCCGTTGTGCAACCCACATAAATTTGGTGCATTGGACGGCGTATATTAAATGGGAATCAGTATAATGACACCCTTCTGAAGAAATCGTGATTTTCTCTTTAAATTTGTGATAGAATTGACTCATTTTGTTGTACAAAGAACAGAGTTTACAACGATCCGAAACTCCAATAAAGTTTTGATTGTGAACGCTTACATTTGTTAAAATTTACCTGACGTCTTTGTTTCCTTTTAAAGAAAAGATAAGTGGGTTGGAAAAATATCTTTAAAACGGGGATATTTTTGCACAATGTATTTATTGTGAGACCGTAACATACCTATAACATGGACTCTTCCAGGACTATATAAAGTATGCGATATAACACTCTAGGCGAAGAGGAGGAAAGAGAGAGAGAGAGAGAGAGAGAGAGTATTCTAATACCGTAGTATCAGCCGCGTACGACTACCAATATTGGACACTAGCACATAGTAAGCTCCGCTTACACTTACACTATCTTTGTAACCTTTTTGTTTAATATATCTTTCTTACCTCTAATCCGTGTTCCGTGTTTTCCTTCCGTGGTCCCAACTTTGGGTCCACATCAGTGGCGACGGAGAATTCGAGAAACGCATTCACGTCGAAAACCGCAATACTTTGCCAGTCCCACATCAGTGGCGAGAGAAAGATTCGAGAATTTTGTTCTCCCCATATCAATAGCGACAGAGTACTCGAAAAATATACAGAAACTCCACGTGTTCCCACAGTAGTGTTGAACGAGAAATTAAGTTGGTATTACTACATTAGCGATTTAAACGCAACACCCAGCGTCTACATATAAAAAAAATATTCCGATACCAAACAGCAGTGACGAACTAGCGATTCGACATCTATGGAATATTAAATTAATATTTATTATTAATAACATTACGAGAACGATTTCTTACACACCCAAACACAGAAAAAAAAACAGTTTGTTTTATGAACAAACACAAGAGTACTATTTACGACTCTAAAATTTTTTTTATGTAACTGAGTTGAACTCGTGCATAAAATTATTCCCCCCTCAAATTCACTGAGGCGAGTTTTCTCTTTTTTTGTACCTCTATAAAAAAAAAAAATACATAATAAGTGTGGTGAAAATTCATACAATTACGTTAAAATTTACGGAACCACGGAATCGCAAAAAAGCTAAAGACATAATTAGTTTAGTTTAACTAATTGTCTGTCCATATTTTTTTTTTTTGTGTAAAAGAAAAAAAAAAGAAAAAAACCTATCAAGATTTTTTTGTGTACCTCCCCTTGGTACACGGGTTTCAAAGCAACAAAAAATCGCTGGCATTTTTGTTTGTCTAAATATGGAAGATTTTCAAAAAGTAATTGCCCAAAGGCTAAAAGTAATTTGGATCAGCAACAAAAATCAGAAGAAAGACAACGACAACTATTTTTCGAATTACATAAACAACAAATGGAATTCCAACGAATTACGCTTCAGAATGCTGAACTACAACAGAAACAACTTAAAGAATTACTCGTAAATGCATTAAAAGGCTCAAACTCTGAAAAAGATACAATATTCTCCCAGAGTACAATCTACAATTCAATGGAAGCCTTTGAATACGTACCAGAGAACGACAAAACGTTCGAGGCGTTTTACAGGCGCTACGAAGATATTTTTAACGTAGACTGTGAACAATGGCCCAGTAAAAAAAAAAAGGTACGTCTACTATTGAGAAAACTGGGAACTACAGAACATAGTAGGTTCGTAGACTTCAAACTACCCAAGAAAACCACTAACTCGGATTTTTCAGAGACTATTAAGTTACTATCGGAACTATTCGGGCCCAACACAACCTTGTTCCACAAACGTTGGAAATGCCTGAACACAGTCAAAGGCAACCAGCAAGATTTTCTAACGTTTGCAGCATCGGTAAACAAGCTCTGTAATGATTTTAAACTAGCCGAACTGACTGCCGATGATTTTAAGTGCTTAATTTTCGCACAAGGTCTAGTATCAGCAGAAGACGCCGAAGTCAGACGACGGGTACTGACCAAGCTTGAGAACGAACAAGGATTGACTCTCCAAAAACTGTCAGAGGACTGTCAAAGAGTAATACCTGTAAAGTGTGACTCAAACACTATCGAGGAATCAGGTGTGGCTCAGATTAATAAAATCAGAAGCAAGTCTACCTGTTCCTCTCAAAAAGACAAAAGGCAAATCTCATGTCCTAAATTCGGCAGTAACCAAAACCCAAATAGGTAAAAGAAACCGCCCGGACCATGTTACCATTGTGGTAAATGGCATTGGATGAAATTCTGTCCAGTTAAGAACAAAAAATATTGCAAAAATTGCAATAAAAGTGGCCATACTTTAACTTCGTACTGGTACGCCAACAGAACGAGTAAACCCAAAAATAAAATTAGGCAAGCTCATTCTGACGATATTGCCGATAGAAATTTAAGGAAATATGTAACTGTGGATATTTTCAATAATTCCATTAAATTCCAGCTTGACTCGGGTTCCGATCTTTCAACCATTAATTGGCGTACTTGGCGAAAATTAAACACGCCGACCTTATTAAAAACGGATAAAACAGCAAAATCCGTAACTGGCGAAAAGATTAACATTTTAGGCGAGGTAATACTTACAGTAACACTAAATGGAGTTACCAAAAAGCTCAAAGCCTACGTATTGAAAACTTCAGATAACTTATTTGGAACAGATTGGATAGAAAAATTCAATCTTTGGGATTGCCCAATGAGTACATTTTGTCGCAAGATACAAAGTACAACGTCCAATTTGGTAAATCTCAAAAAGGAACTCAAACAACAATTTCCCCAGGTTTTTTCTGGCGGTCTTGGGAAATGTACTAAAATGAAAGCTAAGTTCAAGGTGAAGGACGGTGCACAACCGGTATTCAAAAAGAAACGGAATGTCCCTTTCGCTGCTCTAGAGCAAATCAACAAAGAGTTAGATAGACTCGAACAAGTAGGTATTCTGTCAAAAACAGATTTCAGCGAGTGGGCAGCGTAAAAAAGAAGTCCAATCAAATACGAGTATGCGCAGATTTTCCACAGGGTTAAACGATGCCTTGCAAGATCACCACTATCCTCTCCCAAGCCCTGAAGAAATTTTCAATAAAGTCAATGGTGGAAATTTTTTTTCTAAAATTGACCTCTCGGACACATACCTTCAGATAGAGGTGGAAGAAGAAAGTTCCAAATTGCTCTGCATAAACACCCATAGAGGGTTGTACAAATACAATAGACTGGCTTTTGGAGTAAAGGTTGCGCCTGCAATTTTCCAGCAGGTCATGGACGCCATGACTACAAGCTACAAGCGTGCCTCAAAGTAAGAAAAGGTTGAAAGATACTGATGTAGACAAAGGGCACGAGTAGAAATCAGAGGTTATCGTATAAAATATCAATTCTAAGTAAAATACTTTACGTCTCTGTGATCTAAATTGCTAACACTATCTCGGCGACAATCAACAACCACCTCAGCTGTAAATAAGCAAATGCATTAATAATAATAATAACAACAACAACAATTACAAGTCACGTCAGCCAACGCTTTTATACACTGGGCCATATGTTTGAGGACATATATGGCTAAACTAGTATTCATGTAAAATCATCCTGGATATAAAATGGGGATCAGTTTTCTATTGGCATTCAATAAAAAACCCGACCCCCTACAATTACTACATGTTAATATAGTAACTTGAAAAATGTATTTAAAAACTCACATGTACAAGGCTTCTAATGATAGTTACGACTAAACGGAATATAATTTTCATGTGGTTTTTGACGACATGGGCAAAGTAATAATACTATAATTCACCAGGAACTATTCAATTGACTCTATTTTGACTATATGGGCAAATGACACCTGCACAGACTAGAATGTGTCCTAGAGAATCAAACATAAAATTCTCCAGAGTTTTGAGATTCAAGCAGATTGCGAAATCCAGACCAGATACAGACTTACGGCCACATCACGTTGAAACACCGGTTCCCGTACGATCACCGAAGTTAAGCAACGTCAAGCATTGCCAGTACGGAGATGGGCGTTCACTTGGGGATATCAGGTGCTGTAGACTTCGATGTGCGAGTGATGTAATAGATAATTGCTTAGAATTTTTAATCGGGGAACCAGTCGGGTTCTCTATATTCACTTACGCGCAAATACCTTTGAGAAAGGCATGAATCCATCTCTTCTCCCCCTAGCTATGGGTTAATTAGTATAACTTACATCACTAAAACAATTATTATATCCAAAGAAAAAATAGAATTGCGTACAAAGTATTTAGATGTTGGCATTAGATAACCCTTAGAGGTGTCGATATGCCACTAAACAACCAACCAAACTAGAACACCGGATCGTAGATTTCGATGTTCCCATACACCGCTGAATAAATCTGAAAGAAAGTGAAAAAATGGATAAGTATCTCGACATTGCAAGTAGTTGAAGGAACATAAAGTTTACAGTCTTGTCAATTGTTATCAGAGTTACTTAGAACAGTCACAAAGATTCTAGGAAAATATTAAAGGAAATAGAAACCAGGTTGAATTTTCCCTATTATTACTGAAAACATTTACAGAATACTGCGGAGAGTGCTGGGGTATTGAAGAGATTTGCAATCACTTAATCTTCAGGTGTGAACAACAGATGTAAACTGCAGGTGTGAACACTCAATTAGTGAAGTTTAATAACACTGAGTAAATTGTTAAACTTGGTGATACGTGATCTCCAATGATGATTACTAGATACTCTTGCGGTCATATAAATAATACTCCTAGATTGAGCCAGAAGAACTTTCCGTTATCGTTCGGTTAACACTTCTCCCTTGTCTATTGAACAGGAGTTGTTTTCTGTTTGATTGAATTTTCAGTTCATTCTAAATTCTAATTCAACTCTGTACTTCTGACGTCTCTGCCTAAACTCTGACTCTTATTTACTATTTATTTACTTTTTGTCCTCAACAGTAAATAGATTGGTCTATTGTTCGATTCACACTCCTTCCCAGTATTTTGAACAGGAGTAGACGTTTATCTGTTGTTTCCTGTTTAGGATTGAGTTCTCAGTTCCTTCTAAAGCCATTTCCTTCTCTTTCACTTCTAGTGACTCTTTGCATCTTGGTGGCATTATCGCCTTGCTTGGGATGGTGCTACTTATTCTGTAACTCTCTACTTCAAATAGCTCTTGGGCCTTGTACAGGATGAAAGTCATTGTAAAAAAAATTGTAATGATGAATGTATCATCTTAACTATTAATCATATGTGGCAGTTAAGAATAAATTTGGATGACACTAACATACTTTAGATTTTGCACAGCAGTAGCAGCGTACACAGTGAATGCTGTTCTGCTTCATAACAACGCAAGGACGCATACAGTAAAATTAACACAGGAAGTAGACATTTGGGAATTGGTTGATTTGTTCTAATCCACCAGTCATATTCACCTAACCTTAAACTAAATGATTATTACCTTTTCGATCATTACAAAGTGATTTGATGGGGAAAACTTTCTCTAATCAGAGCGAGATTCAAATTTTTCATATCAAAACTTGCGAAGTTTTCCTCAAAAGGTGCCTGATAAGTGGCAACGAGTCATTAATGTTAATGAAAATATTAACAGTTTCCTTATAAGGAAACATTCGGCATTCATCAACGGAGCGGTCAGTACTGCTGACAGTTGAAATTTATAAAATCTTTCTCTTAAAACAATTTTTCAGGAACATGGGTTTCTCAATCTCAGTAGTAGTTATCGCTCTTTCCAGTATTGATGGGGGGATTTCCTTCCAAACTTTTTCTTTGAAATAGTGTGGAACGCCAGCCTCTTGATAATGTCATCATCTTCTCTTCGAGTTACATGTGATATCCATTTTAGTTGTTGCCGTTGTTGGAAGTCCTCAAGTGATGTTGTTTCTGTTATTTGGTACAGTTCTTTGTGATTCTGTAGCGCCAGTCCATGAAGTTCGAATAAGTGTGGTCTTCGCCAAGGCCTACAGGCTTTACTCGCTCAAAGCCATTTTTAACCATTGATTTGAGAAGCGATTATATACAACTGACAGTTTAGATATTTCTAAATGGGTTTAGATTTAATGTTTTGGTTTTGTAGCAATTTACGGTATTGGGCGAAACTTGTGGTGTTAGGCGAAACTAACTCTGTCGCAGGCTATTCTATGTTCGTTTTCCTTATTTTGGTGAATATATAATTGAATAAAATATAATTGTAGTCTGTTTTTTGAAGAATAATTTTGTTAAAGAAAAACGGGAATCATTTGTGATTCAATCTAATAATAATTTGATGTATTGAAGAGACTTGTTGTCACCTAATCTCCAATGTAAGCCATCAGTTAAGATTGGCAGGAACACTCTATGAGCAAATAATTAGGTAACCTTTGTCGACAGTATGACCTCATAACACTCGTAATAATGTTGTCATTTAAGTTTTACAATTTAAGAACCCAGAATATTTTTGAAACTATAACAGCCGACGCCTATAAAAATCTGCTCTCTCACTCTTTTTTCTCTCTCTCTCTCTCTCTCTCTCTCTCTCTCTCTCTATGTATATATATATATACACACACAGGCCACACACACACACACACACACACACATATATATATATATATATATATATATATATATATATATATATATATATATATATATATCTTCGTTAATGATTAATTCCCCTAGGGAGTCTAGCGAACAAGAAATGTGCTGTTATAGTGCGGCGGAGTTAGCCTTCTACACAATGAGACTGATCGGGAGGTGGGTGATGGGACAGTAGGAAAAAGAAGAGGACAACTTCACACGCTTGGATTTGAACTCAACCTTATTGTGTTCAAAAAAAGGTGTCAGAGATTGCACTTAATGCGATCAGTGTATGAACAGCGTATGAGTCTTTGCAATTTAAAATAGACAATGCGTGTACATTTGGCCCCGAGCAACACAGGGTGATGTAAACGAGATACATGGTGCTCCAGATAAATGAGAACAAATTATGAGGTGGGGGGAAGAAAACAGTGAGTATATTTTAAAAAATAATTGTATACATGTTCAACATTTCAAATGTGGCAGGTATTTCTCCACACTCTGTACATATATAAACACGCGCGCACACAGATACAGACACGCACAAAGAGTTACCTCTAAAGATTCGCTAAAAAATGAACATACATGATTGAAAAATGCTCCAAACTTAATAGAAACAAAGTTTTATCGTCAAAAATCTTTGTTATTATAAAGAGGAAAGATTAAAAGATTTTCTGATAATCAAATTATCCTTTTATCCTTTTTAGAACGCTCGAAATTTTGTTTAAAATTTTTGTTTTTTCTTGCGTCAACGGAGGATCATAATTAGTATGCGAAATTTTAGCGTCTATTTTGCGGTGAAAAAACACATTGATTTGGAAATTCTTGCAAAAATCAAATAATTGTCAAATTTTAATGAAACTTTCATGACTTATTGACAAATGAATGAGCTTATTTTAGAAATGCTTCTTTAAATAATCTTGGTAAAAAAAATTACTTTTAGATCTGTTTTTCTTTCTTTCTCTCTCTCTCTCTCTCTCTCTCTCTCTCACACACACACACACACACACACACATATACACACACACACACACTTTTTAATTTTATAAAATTTCGAGAAATTCATTTTTGTGCTGCTTAATGTTTATATTAGTACTAAGCACAAGTCCTTGGAGAATTTAAATCATCAATCTTTTTGTAGAACAGGACCCCGCAATTTACGAAAATCTAATCTGAATCGTAAAATAAAAATGTAATAATATTAAGACATTATTTAATTAGAAAAGATTTTAATTACTTTTATGAATAAGATATATTATGGACACTATTGCCTTAAGAAAAAATATTTTTCGATGAATAATGAATTTTTACAAAAATTGTTTCATTAAAAAAATTTAATTAGAATAATTTATAAAGTTTTAGATATTTCAAAATTCTGTAATAATTTGTCCCAGTTAGGTGATATGTTTAAGTAAAAACTATATTTACTAATGATAAAAACTTCAGCACACCCTAATATTTTTAAGAAAATTTGAATTATGAGTGTGTATAAACGTTCACATTTTTTTTGTCCATACACGACACTATCAGAAAATAAGTGCACTAACTATAGTAAGTTTAAAATTTATTAGTAATTTCTTAACATTTTCTCATCAAACGTCTTCGTACTTAAAACTATAAAGTCAAAGTACCAAAAATTCAATAAAATATTAGATTACTTAGAATATTTTCGAAATGTTAAAGATTCCTAGGTAGTTAAAAAAATTATTTTAAAAAGGCATTCGTGTTGTATTCGTCAAGTAATTTTTACAGTTATGTGCCTTTACTTAAAAATGTCAAACTTTAAGCTATCAATAAATCTGTCAACTCTCATAAAAAAACACCCACCTTCGTGTTAAAAGAAAATGCTTTTTTGTGATATTTTAACTAAAAGTAATATTTGTTTTAATTTAGATTATTTACTCTTTAAATCAGTTAATCTTCTTTCGATAAAGTTTCAGAAAAGCAATTTTGAAAGATTTTTTAGTAAAGAGAATTATGTTGTGTTGACAAATTTGTCAATATAGCCAATTTTAGCGATTTTAAAATAATCATTCCAACCAATTTCAATTCGGTTTGAAATACAGCAATATATTTTGGTTGTTGGAACTATTGGAATTAAAACTAAAATAAAAACTTCAAGGAAGATATTTCCTTTTTAAAATGCATTTAAACCTTAGATATTCCTTACCATATTGGTGGTAATTATATAAGTATCATACAAAAGCGATAGGCTCATAAAAGAGAGCAACTAAAGTAAGGTAGCTGTGGAGGTCAATGATCAAGCACATCCTGAAGGAGAGATGGCACATAGAGAGAAGTAATGATGGACGTTAATGATTAAAAAAGCATATCGATTATTTTTCTGAGAGAACGAGAAAAATGATTTTCATTCACTTCAGGAATGCTGAAGACACTTCGATGTTAAACACAGAAATTAGGAAATTTCCCGTTTAAGTACAATATGGGGATTATATCAAGGAAACATACTCTATTTTTCAAGGTATAATTTGCG